CAAGTAATAGTTGTATCAAAATGCCTTCATATATTAAACGTAGTGTTCAACAACAGAATATACGATTTTTACACACTCGCAGTCAGTATACTGAAGAATATTTTAAATTTATTCGTAACATTGCCACAATTAATGCCCCAAACATAGTTGCTTCATCCAATGATTTACAACAACTAAAAATTGTAAGTAAACAAAAAAGTGAAACATAAATATTATGTAAACATTTTTCATATAAATATATATTTAATTTATTAGGCTACAAATCAAGAAGAATTATCTCTTTTATCTATTCAGCTTGTGAGTAAATTTCTATTTTATGTCGGTTTGCATACCAAAAAATCATTGAGAGGAAACGCTATGGAGTGGTATGATGTAATAGCATCTCATATCTGTACCTATGCATCTGTTCGTGCTTGGTTTGCTCGAAATATTTTATTTAATCATCCTCAAAGGTACATAGTGATTGAATTTTAATATATTTTTTTAAATTTTATAAATTTTTTAATTGTATTTTTGAATTTTTAGATTTGTGGAATATTTGTTGCAATGTATGAGCTCTGAAGTACGATCGTTCTTTATTAAATTAATTGCTTACTTGGCTCACTATTCTCTTCAAGATGATGCTATCCTTATACCAGCCATCACTTCTAGTAATATATTTATTTTATATTACTCTTTTTAAGTATCTATTAATATTTTTATCCTCATTTCTAGATTCTTTATTAGATACTACGGCTTCGTTAAGTGATCATTTAATTATTGCTGTATTAAGTCTGTTGCAAAAAGAAGTGGGTGAACATACAAATAGACATTTACCACATTACTTTTCTTTTTTCTGCATGTACTGTAATTTAGGTATGGCAGAAAAACAGCAGCTTTTAAAAGTATGTTTATAATTTTCATAATTAATTACAATGGTTTTACTTATTAATAAATTATCATTTTAGTTAAATGTAGCAGCAATATTTATCTTAGTAGCTATTGATGAAGGCCCAGGTGGATCAAACATAAAATATCAATTTAATGAAATCAATAAACTACATTCTGTGATATCAATTTTAGTGAGGTGTTGTGATTGTACGGAAAAATGTGTATCCTCTGCTCCTGTAAGTATATATAAACAAAAAAAAAAAAATCAAAAATTTTACATTTAAAATTGTAACAATTTAAATATACTGAAGAATTAAATTCATAATGAAAGGCTTCATTCAAAACACTTACATTTCTCTTGATTAGCAAATATATATATATTATAAATCCTTCTTAAATTGATAAAGTATTTAAGTATAGTTAAAAAAAAAAAAATAAATTATAACTCCATGGATGATAGTTGTTGCTTGAGTGAGTTTAGTGGCCAAATTGTTTTGCAGGGACGTGACATTCTTCTATAAAAGGCATATAGATAGTTGATAGTTGATTCAGTATAGGTAACAAACGTTTGTTGCTTGACTGCAGCTCGACAAAATCCAGTTACCTTCGTGTATAGTCTTGAATTGTAGATCATTTATTCTTGCCACCATAACCATATGTAACCACTACATTCTATCCTTAAACTATTCATATTGGGTAATGGTGCAAATGTTTAGGCTATCAGTTATTTAAATTATTAACTAGTTAGTAGGCATTTACACTCTCATTAGGAATGTAACAATTCACATGACTAGTAGAGGCAATGAGCATAATAATAAAAATCGTAACCATTACAATGTGTCATGCAACATTGTCTTTAAATCCTATTTATTTTATACTTTTTCATTTTTTTTTTTTTTATTTGTTAATTTGATTGCTTAATTTAAGGACTTCCAACAATTTTTTTATGGCGAAATAAATCTTAGTAATGTTTTGGCGTTGTGGAAAAATTTCCTAAAATTTTTTAGTAATTTTCAAATATTTATTAGTTTGCAAGCTGGAAGTTAGAGAACTCTGGTCTAATTTATTGATTTTTTTTTTTTTACAGGGTACTCCTTTCCTACCAAATCCATTTGCTGAATGTCAACCATACCTAAGAAAAGTTCCTCAACAAGTTAGAGATAGTATTTTTGGTCGAATATGGTATGTATTATCTTAAGATAACAATAAATAATTAAATGCTTATTAATATAATTTATGTATATTTTTAGTTATTTGAAAAAACTTATTGACAATTCTCAAATGAATGAAGAAAGTATGAAATTGCTACAATTTGTGTGTTGGGAAAATCCACTGAGCAGTAGTATGGTTTTAACTGAAATATTATGGCATATAATGTATACATATTGTCAAGAGCTCAAATTTTATTTGGATTTACTATTTGTCATATTAAGTATTGAAGATTCATGGCAAGTTTTACGCATTCAAAACGCTATGACTGGAAACGGTAAGCACACTGAATTTTCTTTTTAATTGTACTTTAATACTGAATTTATTTCAGAAGATAGAGAAGGTGTACTTGACACAATTTTACGACACAAAAATCAATATCAAAGACGGTCATATCAATGTATCAAAGGATTAGTTGGTTTATTTATGAGGATACCGATGGCACATAAAGTTGTACTACAAAACACAGATCTCAAAAGAAAATGGGTAGAAGCAGTTGATTGGCTACAGGAAGAACTTAATAGAGTAATATTATTATTTTATTTTGTTAGTATTATCTCAATTTAAACTTGTGTTATTTTAGAAAACATTGACTGGAGGCCAGTATAATACTTATAATAATTGGACACCCCAATCCAATGAAAACACCAACAGTTTCTTTTTAGAAAGATCAACTAGTGCTCGCAAAGTCCTACAAAAAGCATTTGAATTTTGCCCAACTGAAGTAATTAAAAATACATTTTAATATTAATTTTTGACAATATATATATATATATTATAGATATAATATAATTTTGCTCTTACTAAAAATCTTATATCAAAATTTTAATTTTGTGTGAAAAGGATTTTTCAATCCCAACATTAACTACACAGGAAATAGAAGATTCATCTGATGAAGGTGATGAAGTGGGAATCCAACATGCTACTGATACTCTAGTAAATGAACCTTTACAAGTAGTGCCAGACATTGTACCTGAGTAAGATAGCTATTTTTATATTTTATTTCAAAAAAAATGTATTATAAATTAGTTTATTAAAAATATAGGAATGATGATGATTATGATGCTTCTGTTCCCATTAATTTCAACAGTATAGATGACTTTGATAATGGTGAGAGTAGTAACGTCGAATTGGTGAGTACGAGAATTGTTGAATCATCAACAGATATGCATTAACTTGTGATCATATGAGAAATAATAAAACTGAACGTATAATCGAAATACAAGTTATTGTTGTTTGGATATTATCAAACAATACATTATATTATAATTTATAGAATACTGTATTTTAATCCTTTTGCAATTATATAATTACCAATTAGCACAACCAAAGCGATCAATAAATATTTCGGTACACGACAATTAAACGAATAACGATGTGTTTTAGGCTGTTAACATCTGACCTAATATTAAATTTAAGTTAAACATTTTTTTTTTTTTTTTTTAATAATAATTAGTAAATAATGTTCAATATGAAATTTTTAAAGAAGTAAAACTCCACCGAACAGAAATGTATCGCTGACCGATTTTATACTTGAAAAAAGAAAAAATTTATTTTATGCTGTAAAATTATTTTGTGTACAGATTGGAACCATGCACGTTTAAGTTGTTATATATTCATGTAAAAATATGTAATATATACTTCTGCGTGAGCAAAAATCCTACACTCTTTATACTGTCTTTTATTTAATTATTTGTTGTAAAATGTACATTTATTTTGCTTTTTTACATTATTACTATTATTATTATTATTATTATTATTATTATTATTATTTTATTATTATTATTTTATTATTATATTTATTAAAAGTTGTCTATGTATTATCTAGCTCTCAAATTATCAATATCAAGTTTATATTTTAATACGTCAGCGTTTATATATTACACAAGTATTGTAATGGTAAATTTTCATATTTTAAATTTCAATGACGCGTTTTTGTTATACGTATAAAAAAACGAACTCCTTTGTATGAAAAAAAAAAAAAAAGTGATAATCGATTTATAAGGTCTTTTGTGTAATACACAGTTTACTTATTATGTATTATACTAATTGTAAATTATATTACATAATGAGTATACAATTTAACCCATAAACTATTTATAGAAACTCAATGATTAGGTATGTTTTTTGCTGAATTTATTGAGAATTCTAATTAATCAAGTTTGATAATTGTTTATGTTTCAGTATCATAATTCAATTATAATATTTTATTATTATATTTTTTTTTTTTATTTTGTGATAACTTTCATAACCAAAAGTATAGTAAGGCTGGAATTAATGTTTGTACATTGTTAACTACTGTTATGAAAAGAAAAAGTGTATAAAAAATAATTATGAAGTGTATTGCATTTAATGTAATAAAAAAAAAAAAAATGATATTTTAAAAAAAATATCTTTATAAACATTGATGTATTATTATTTATTTTTTGTGTTGGATCAAATCCATAATAAGAAAAATACTTTTCCCACCTAATTGATGCTAAAATATGAGAAATTTTTTATGTGATGAATTGATGGTGGATAGAGACAACATATATGAAAGCTGTTGCTTTAAAGATTTTGAGACCAGTATATATTGTCTAATAATAATTATTATATGTATTAAATTATAGATTAAATATGTAAAAAGTTATGTTGACAAGGTATTTCATTACTTGTAGACCCAATAATTAATACATTTCTTAATTTAAAAAGATTTTACATTTGGAAATTTATGTAACAAATTTAAAATTCTCCTCTCACAGATAAACATTGGATCATGGGTATGCATATGCTTTTGCACAATACTATTTAACACTTATTGTATTGTAATGTTTAGTATAATATAAATTTTATTTCATAAATACAATGATATCACATTACTTCATTAAAAAATATTTTTTTTATCAATACATAAAAATCCATATGTGTTAAATTGTAACATAAGATATAATTCCAATTTTTTTTTTTAATTTTGAGCAATGATTATAGAATAGACTATTCTATAATCAATGATTTTGAGCAATGTAGGCGACAACAATATAATGTCAATAGCTTACAACTGGTTATGGTTCTCAACCTTCTTTTGTGAGTATCATCTACTCAATAATTGTAAATCTTCCAATTTACAAACTAAGAAATCCAATAGGGTTTTGGAGCCAAAATAGGAGCTTCATTTGAATACCGTCTGTAAAGCTCATTTATATAGTTTTGTCTGTAGATACCAGGATATCTAAAAGATAAAATACACATATAATTTAAAACAATATATATGTAAGTAATTAGTGACATATATTTTATGTAAATTTAATATATAATTGTTGCAATGTCATAGTTTTAACTTGGGGTTTTAAAAATAAAAATAGTGACATAATTATTAAAGTGATAAGGAAAGAACTTTCTTTGAGGTTTTTCTTTTTTTTCTAATGACACTTGTATTCCCAGTAATAAAATTACATTGTGCTAAACAATTTAAAACTTTCATTATGTTACAAGATATTAATTAATAATGCTATACTATTAAGTATTATTCAATTTAATAATATTACAAACAAAAAACAAATTCACATACTTAGTATAAATTATTATTTTTAAATTTATGATACTGTTAGTTGTTCAAGAACGACAATAACTACAATGACTACAACTAAAATTATTGAATAATATAATAATATTATCACTTAAAATCATGATTCAATCTAATAGTTAATGCAGTTATATTCTATGGTGAGACATTGAAACGGATGATTTAAAAATAGATTTTCTCAGTAGAATTTAAGATAAGAATTCTTGTCAAATATTATTAGTTCAAAGACAGCACAGTATTTGGCTTTTGCGTTTTAGTAAATATGCAACTGTGAACTGGTGAGTAATGACAATGAGGTTGTGTGATAAACTCATTTAACATTTTACAAAAATAATGACAGTAACGTAGCTTCACGGCGATCATATTTTCATCTTCGTTTTTGATCTTAAACGCTACGATTCAATACCATCGAGTAAGGCTATTAATAAATTTAATAAATGGATAATGATTAATGAACTTTAAAGAAACGGATTTAATATTAAAAAAAAAAAAAAAACAATTGTATGCCTTAAAATGTTGCAGCAGTTAAAGACGCTCCTCTTATAGTTCAAGACGTTCTACACAAAAATATGTGATATCGTTAAATTTATCAATTAAGTCTACGTAAGATTTTGCACGACTTTAATTTTCATTAATATAAGGTGCAAGTGATTCAACAATAAAAACCTACAGATATCTAAAGTTGCACAACTTTTTGTTGAAAAATGCTATCCTTGACGGATGAGAATAAAAACTATTCAAAACATTTGGATGTCTTATGAAGCATATTCCCATCTTGATGGTTTTGTGAATAATTAGAATTGTCATTTTTGATCTCAAGAAAATCCTCGCCAACTTCATCAATGACCTTTACATTGCAATTAATAACTATATGGTGTGCAATTTTACATTATAATATCATTGGCCTGTGTTTTTATGAAAACGTTAATGGACGAGCAACAAATGTTAATTCAAATTGTCCATGTGATCAATAATTTTTTGCAAGTGAACTAACAATTTTCTTAAAATTATTACTTTTGGTTCTAAAAAAATGCACGACATCTCAAACGACTCAAGTATCAATGAATGCCATTCAACAAAATTGAAAATCGTATTAATTACAAAAATTATATTTGTTGACCACCACAATCACTTAATTTATCAACATGTAAGTTTATTTTTGAGAGTATTTAAAAAGTAAACCCTATGCACATAAATCTCAAATATTGCAGAACTAAAATACAAAATTAAAGAAGAAATTTCCAATACCCCTTTGAAAGTGATATATTGTGTAATAGAAAATATGCGAAATAGATTAGAAAAGTACTAGAGAAAAGATAGCCATTATCTTGAGGATATCGTTTTAAAAAAAAAGGCAAATTATGTACTTCACTATAATAAATAATAGGTAATTTATTTATTTTTGAAAATTTGCTGTTTCAATGTCCTACCCTGTATATATATATCTGAAATTATCATTCATTTAACATTTTTTCTAATGAAAGAATCAATAACCATTAGGTACCTGTAATAAAAAAAGAAAGTATATATCTTAGTTAATAAAAATACTAGTTTTTATTTTACATTTAGCAGTCTTTAAGAGAACTTCATATTTAAAAAAAGAATGGATATAACATTGATTTTTAAGGACACTTTAAATGTAAATTTAAATTAAGTTATTTTCTTGTCTATTCTGTTAATTTTGTTTATTTAGCCCTACTTATAAATAATAGTGATAACTGATAATATAATAAAGTTTCTACACGTTTATAAACAATAAGCAACAATGTAAGAAAAGGTTATAGATAATGCTTTTATGATAATGATTTGAAAAATAAAGTGCTAATGAAGATAATATTGTGCATAAATCATATTTATTTATGATAACCTATGCGTAGAACTTATGCTTCTATAATTTAAAAATTAATATTCCTCAAAACAAATTCCTTATTATGCTACTGTAAATTATATAAATTGTATATTACCTAGCTTCTGCAAAATGACGTATCGCACTCGTAACATCAAAATTTAATACTTCCACTAAATAAGAAACTATAAAAAATCCTGTTCGGTTAAAACCATGAGTACAATGAACACCTTGATAAAACAAATAATTGTTTAATTTCAGGCCATATAATTAATTATTATTATATGAATTAAAATAACTGATTATACCAATAAACTGTGAAAAATTGTTTTCTAGAAAATTTGAACAAATATTGAAGAACATTTCTATTACTTCTCGATTAGGTAAATCTCCGTGACCAGTACAAGGTATTTTTATATAATCACATCCCATATTTTTTATTTCAAATTTGCTATAGTAGCGTGTTGTATTTGTGAGATCAATCCATAAGCCAATACTTTGCTGTAAAAGTTGTACATACTTACAAAACTAACATAATATAATATATTGAAGTTATTAACAGTAAAATACCTTTCAATTGATTAAAATAATACCTTAAAGTAGTGATGCACAACCTATTTTATACAGTGAACATCAAAATTTAAATTTTTGATGAGAAAACCACCTCTCTCACAATACATATAATAATAAAAATTAAATTGAATATTTAAATTAAAAAAAAAAAAACTCACAATAATAAATAAATGAAATAACAATTTAAAAAATAATAAATTTCAATAGTTATAAAGTGTATACTTCATTAAAATGTTAGAGGAGTAAACAGTATTGTTTTTTCATACTGTTTTGTTTACAACTATTTTTGATAATATTTCTATCATAACTATATATCTTATTTGATACTTATTTTCCTTTCATCAGAATTATAGTTTTCTATTCATGAATTAGGTAATAATTTTTAATTTTAATTTAACTTATCAAGAAATGTTCTGAAACACTAATCTGCCCCTATACTCTGTAGATATCTAAATATACTTAATAATATATTTAATGGAACAAATTTTTGAAATAATATTTAGTTAAAATTGCTAGACAAATTAACCAATAAAATTAAGATATAATTAATTAACATTGTATTAAAAACATAAGCAATTTTTATTTCTATTAAAAATTAATAAGTAAGTTGTTTAATAACATTTTATATTATGGTTAGGTAATAGGTAATACCTGATATGAAAACATATGATTAAATACCATTTCTGGATTGAATCTCATCTTGATTGCTAATTTATTGTCATATTTATAATCTAATGGTGTTTTGAATGCTACAAATGCATTAGCTATCCCCGAAGTAGCTATAGGAGGGCAATTTATCCAATAGTTAGGGATTTTATTATTTTTTGATGATTCCCGATTAGATCTATAACGATTATAACGATTGACTCCTGCAAATTACCAGTATTTAATTAATTTATAAAAATATTTCAGTAATCAACTTGATATTCAAATCCATTTTATATTAAACACTATAATATATATATTTAAATATTATTCTTACCTGCCATTGAAATGTTTCTTTATGGTATAAAAAAGAGGTAGCCGGTTAGTACCTAGTAAGTAAAAAAATAGCTATTGATATTGTTGAAAATTTAAAAATGAAATTTTGTTATTTTACTGATTAATCTTTTAATTTAATATTTTATTTATACTGAATTTCACGATAGATATTACTCAACCAATATTCAAATTATTCAATAGTAAGTTGTAACCATGAAATTTGATGAATAATATATATTATTATTAATCTTTTTTTTTTACAATAATATTATTAATCAGAGTTCATGGTTGTAACCATAATTTAAGATAGTAATCTAATTACCAACATCCAATATCGAAGTGGAGAAGATAATTCTATTTTTCTTTACATTGTGGATCCACTATAAAAATTAAAAATGTTATCACAGACTACACAGCAGAGCAGACATCATGTATACGAAGTACCATTGAACTCTATATGATAACTGGAATGCTCACCAGTCATAAGACCAATGTAAATAACCGAGATAGCGTGTTAGAAAAGACAGCAGATAAGAATGGTGTTGCTATCTTTTATCACATAGTTATATGAATTGATTACCAATACATTTTAAATTCGTTGTTCGTTTAACGTTTTGACTTTTGTGCCTTCTGCGTTCTCAAAGTTTTAAAAATAATTAAAATAGTGTGTACTACTGTCAGTAAGACTTAAATGAATTTTGTAGTGCCTTTAATTGTGGCTCTAGTGATGTGAAAAGACTTGTCATTCACAAGTTAGTATTAAGTTATTATATGGTGTTATTGATTTTACTCTGATATTTTTAACAGATTTCATCTATTATTTTAATATTTGAGTTCCTCTTAAAGATAAAGAGGCTTCAAAATGGGTGCATGCTGTTCGAAGGAAGATTTTAACCTAGTTCCAATACAACTTTATGTAGTTTACATTTCAAGTAAATTTGACTTCATTCAGCTTGTAAGTGGAAAAATGTTAATAAAATCACTTGTACCAACTGTATTTGATTTCAAATCATTTCTCAAAATTAAAGGAGAATTCTGCAGACGAAGTAAGTAATTAAATTAATAAAAACAAGTATTTATATATTTTTATATTATTACATGGCCATTATGTATTAAGAATTTTGTGTTCTTTGATAAAATTGTTGATATATGTATTTTAAGGACACAACCACAACAATAGCCTTAAAATAATGAAAATATGTTATCTACTTGTAAAAAGAACAAAGTTTGTAGAACATTGGCGTACAGACAAAATTAACTGGGAAGAATTAGAAAAACATTAAATGATTGCATA